CTTTCACAAATAGAATTTAAAGGGATAGTTCACTTTGAAATTAATTTTTGATATGTTTTAGCTTACCTCAAGGGCATCCAAAATGTAGGTGTCTTTGTTTCCACAGTATTTTAAATTTTGATATTTTTAGGTCAAACCGTTCTTGTCTGTCAGTCATATAATGCAGGTCTATGGTCACCACCTCAAAGACCATCCACAGAGAAGTCCAAATTAAAGATGATTTAATGACTCATAAATGTAAGTACACATTGAAGGCCCAAGACACGAAATGAGCGGTTTGTGTGGGAAAACAAACAGTATTTAAATCGTTTTTACCTCTTGTAACCACAGCCACGTCCAAGTGATCTGAACGCACGGGCGCTTCGGTCTGCACAAGCGCACCGGAAAGTGCCGGAAGTGATCTCTTGCACTATACGACTGACAGACAAGAACGGTTTGACCTAAAAATATGAAAATTGAAAATACTGTGGAAACAAACACACCTATATCTCGGATGCCCTTGAGGTAAGCTAAAACATATCAAAAAATTATTTCAAAGAGAACTATCCTTTTAAAAACTTTGATTTTTAATGATTCGTTAAAGGCCTTTGTATAAATACCAAGAAGAACGTGAAGAGGAAGGCAACAAATCCTCATGAATAATCTCACAGATGTATTCAGTCATTGTCACAATGACCCAGACGATCTATCAAAGCTCAGTCCACTCTAGATGAACACGAGGCGCAGTGTCGTGCCAAAATAAGTGTTTGTATTAAAGAGAGAGAGGCTGGAAGCGTGCACTTTGTGCAAGTTGAGACAGACACCGGTCTCTTTTGATGTCAGCATCTTTTGTTTTGTGCCACGTTTATAAAGCTGTGCATGTCACAAGAGTGCTCCCACCCACACTTTAGCTCTTGGTATCTCTGAATAGACGGTGTTATCCAGGTCTATCGGTGGCTTGAGTTTAGTTGCCTTGAATTCTGTGCAATTGCCTGTGAATTTGAAATAAACAAACAGAACAAGGCAACTTTAAAATAGCCATTAAAGGAGTATTTCACTTTTTTTTTTTTTAACTTTTGCTGATAATTTGCACCCCCATGTCATCCAAGATGTCCATTTCATTCTTTCTTCAGTCAAAAAGAAATTAAGTTTTTTGATGAAAACATTCCAGGATTTTTCTCCATATAATGGACAACAATGGGAACCAAACGGTTCAAGGTCCAAAAGACAGTTTCGTGCATTCCAAGTACACGAATGACTAGGAAGTGTTTTCAAATGTAAAACTTGCAGTTGCTGGTGTGGTGATGGCCAAAACACAGAGTTGTGACGCTGGAATGAGCCTGTTGATGTGCAATATGGCGGCAACAAGGGATTCCTTTTTTTCAGCAGCTTTAGAAATAGGCCCATGTCACAAAACTAAGAGCCACTTTAACAAATAATTTGTGTTAGCCTATTAACTTACCTAAAAATCAAAATACTATTGAATAAAACTACAATCTCTTTGTTTTACATAAAAACAGCTATCATGTGTGTGGTATGTAAATATTATGGGTTTGGGGTTTGCATTGGTTTGTGATCCTCATGGAACACATACTTCTAAAATCTCCCAATAAATGTGTTTTTTTTTTTCTTTTGGTCTACTGAGGTTTGGGACTGTGCACGTTCTTGTAGTGTCATTCAGCAACCAAGCAACGTCATTTAGATGAATGAGAATGCTAACAAACAGCCAGACATTGTATGAAAAATAAATCAGCAGGTCTGTTCTCGTAGGCCTATCAGATGCACCGTTGAGCAAACAGTCCACTTGCTGAAGCAGCTTCACTCATCCACGTCCACCTAGCAACACCTGTTTGCATTAAACACCAAACACGTTAGACTTTGCACCTGGAAATAGATGAGGAAGAGTATAGAAAGGTTCATGAGTGACGTGCATGATTGTATTCTTTAAAAAGGGTTTGGAAAGTTGGACAGAAAGTAAGACCACTACACCATTACTGTATCAACTTTGGCGGGCTGCCACTGCGCAAACCACAGACTCAAACTCAAAGATTTTCTTATAGTGTCGGAAGTACTCGGTCATGCAAAACGCTCCTTTTTGCTGGTCATTTACTGCGTAATTAAAAAGGCTTCACTGATCAAACATGCACAATAACACGTCAAATGTGGAAAAACCAGATCAGCCAATTGAGATAATCTCTCACATCTGATTACTGCCACCTCATCTAAACTGCACCGTAACAGCTGGGAGTTTGTCATTAAGAGACACGGTAATGTCAAATGGTGGATGAACAATAAGCATATAGTGGGATAAAACCAAGACCTGCGGAGGGGGATGGGGTGAAACAACAGGAAATGAAAGGTCTGATGGAATAATGGACACTCTGAATCAGACCAGAAGACGTCATGGAGGCCATGATGGCTGTGTAAACAGTGTGTGTGAGTGTTTAAACTGCTGCAGATGAATTAAGCGTAAAACTCATTGATGAAAGAGCGATGGATTGTGCCGTGCGCTTGACCTATCGGTAATCATTTTTTGATTGGAAGGTTTTACGGCAATAAGCCTTAATGCCCACAGAAGGGAAAACCAGTAATGGGATGGCTACTCAAAACATTTAGCTTTAGATTAAATAAAGCATACTGTACTACAAACCATAAAAACAGTAAAATATAGTAAAAGCTGCTACGTGGGAAATGTAAGAGCCAATTTAATGTGGTCAATTTGTATTATTATTATCCTCATATTATTTCTGTTTTATGTGCAGTACAGTATCTTTGTATTATTTCCTTAAAGTTAGCTTGAAAGCCACTCACCCTTATATGTGTAATACAATCATATGCTGTTTTAGAGGGATTCGGGATAGGAAGGAGGAGAAGGAGAAACAGTTATCTTACCGTCTGGCTGTCAAAAATTAGGAAATTTTATAAATCGAAATACAAGAAATATATTACATGGATTTAAGACGTGTTAGATTCCAAAGGTATTGGCTGAAAGAATTAATTGAAAATAAATGTGCAACACTTTAACGGACTGGCCGTGTATTTTTGACGCATAAGACACTTCAGCTCCTAATAAGCAAGAAAAGGTGGTTTTGGTCCTTGTTTCTAAAGGAAATGAAACATAAAGTTTAAAGTAAATGGGCAAATACTTATGGGTCTATGATTAGATAATAATTGCAGGGATTATTATGTTCCTAGTATGTTGGAGAGTGTTTTCATTTCTTAAAGGGATATTCCACCGTTTTTTCATATTATATGTTCGCCGAGTCGAAGTGCTCCCAAGCACTTGCTGTGGTATTCCGCCATACAATATACAGTAGTTATCCATTTTTCATGCTTAGAAAAGCACAACGTTTTATTTTATGTCACTGTCCTAGGTTGAGTTACACTGCTCGAGTAACTGTATTTAAATAGGGAAAACGTGGAGGTGTTTGGTCGCTTCTCTGCTTGGCCCATATTGAATGAACTGGGCTAGTTCAGTGCTATCAAAGTGTCTCGCGCCAGAGCGATTGAGCGCATGCACTGAGATGACAGAGGTATGTATCAACTCGTCTTAGTTAAGGGAATAACAGTTTAATATGAAAAAACAGTGGAGTCTCCCTTTAAACAACCATGTAGGATCATGGCCATATCCCAGGATGACAATGTCAAGATTCATCAGGATTGAATAGTTCTGAAATAGCATGAAGAATCATTTTCACACATGAATTAGCATCTCCAAGTCCAGATCTTAAATG